TGTATTAAATAGGGGAACTTGTCGGCAAATAAAACGGTTTCGCAGACCCAAACGGGACGTCATATCTTTCTTAGTTTATTTGATCGAGCCTCATCCTCAAGTCTTGTGTTTATCCCTCGGGATAGATACAGGATTTGAGGTAGAGTGCTCTTTCATTTAAACTGTGAAAAATATGAGGTCAGTTTGATTTCATATTTTTCTAAAATTATATATATATACGTAAATTCAAAAGTCCTTCCGAAGCGGGTGACGGGATTTCGGTTCCGGCTGCCGACAGCTTCTTACGGGCGACCCCCAAACATTAACTTTTTCCCCTTTTAAGCGCCGACAAATACTAAAGATTTCTCATGGCCACAACTTCAACCGCAAAAAGTGCAATACCTATTACAAGAAATGAGCAGGATCTAGTAATTTCACATCTAAGGGGTTCAGATCCATCATTTTTCGCAATAAAAAAAAATCATCATCATTGATATTTCTTATCTGCCGCTTTGCAGATCCACAAGAAAAAAAAAAGAGATCCGACCGCATTTCTCGAACGAATGCAAATAACGAAGAAGGAAGACGAGACATGCGAAGGAATAGTTATGCCTGTTGAGTGAAATGCGAAGGAGTGAAGATGTCGAAAAAGAAGAGTGAAAGCGCACCGGATCTTTGGAGGAGGATCGTTTAGGGCATGTGAAATGCGATGAAGAAATGACAAGGGCGGATGCGTATGAGAGTAGGATCACGGGATGCCAAGACCGGATGCGTATGAGGACGGGGTCATGGGAGTAAATTATTCGATCAAAAATGGGGACCGCTGTCCCGCGGTCCGCGTCTTTCACAAATTTTAAAACGCCGTTTATGATAATCTGTTGATAAGTGCGGAACAAACGGCGATGCGGCATTTTCAAAACGCCGCCCGTACTTATAAGCTGCACCAAACGGGGCTTTAGTGACTGAATCTGTCCAGTGCATTGGGGTTTGTTTAAATTTGGTTTGGACTGTTTAAACCCTAAGAAGCACCAAAATTAGGTGAATTTGGTGATGGTGAAATTGTTGTTCTGAACCAGTCTTGAGCTTTTTATGTTTAATTTCTGAGTTAAGTTTTAGGAGTAAAGTTAGAATTATTTTAGTTCTTTTAAGCTATATTGTGATTTTTTTGTTGTTTTACAAATTATACTTTGATCAGGTAAGACTTTTTATGATCTCAACAGCTATATCGGGATTAGGGATTGAACAGTCTATTCATTTAGAGGAAGGAATCTATTGTTTCATAAAATTAATCCCAAGTGCAACGTTACCTGTTAGTGGTTTAGAGCTGACTTTGAGATATACTAGTGTAAATCTCAGTTTGAAGATTGGATTAGATCAGCCTGTGATTGGTTAATAAGCATTAATTTTTACTAGATTAATTTATTTTTGCTTGAATTTACTCAAATCTTAATTATGTTGTGATGGATGAGTTGGCAGGGTGTTTGTTAGATTCAAATAACTGTTGAAGGGGGATTTATATTATCTGAATAAATATGGCTTCAATATGCGTTTTTTACAATGGTAAATATGGCGATTGCATATTTGTGAAGTATATGATCTACTTCTGCGTTCAATATATCTCATCGCTTGATCTTTTCTTTTCTTTGATGGTCCTTGAAACTGTCATTGTGACATATACGTCTCCATGTTTAAAATCTGATCAACAAATTTGAATTGAATCCCTTCCACTCAGGTTTGTGCAATTTGGTCCCGTGGTTCACTGTAACTGCGGAGCTTCAAATTGTCAAGGTTTTCTTGGGAGCAGGAAAAAGACGAACCAGACCAAATTTTCAGACTCTGTCTGGGGTTGCAAAAGGCCCAGAACACATAAAAACATTAGGAAGAATATATGATCTTTATATCTGATTGATTCAATTTGTTCTTTTTCAATCCTGCAGTTTCTGCAACTGCATAAAATTTTCTGAGCTCTGATCCTTCATCATAAAACTGATAAATCTGCCAATTCGTATTGTTGAAAAGCAGCTTTGCCTTCTGATCCTTCTCTGCTGCAGCTAAATTTCCTTTACAAGGCTTCAGGTATGCTTCCTCGGAGAGCGCTCCACTGAACTCCCTTTTCCTTTTAAATTATTTTTGAATTTTCAATTAGAAATTTGTTCTCATTGATCATTGAGTGTATAGCTTAATTCTACTGATTCTTCTTTCCCAACATAAGACAATTTCATCTGTTCTTCCATTGGAACATGATATTATTCTTCATTCTAGAAAACTTTTGTTCAGACTTTTGTAATTTAGGGAGGCTTTTGTGATTCACTTTGATTGGACAAATAAAACATGGATAAAAATGACTCTAGTCATATTAATGCATGTATGATGTATTTAATTTTTCATGTCTTCATATGAATTTATTGCTTCTTCCAATTTTGAATTCAATATTTATAATGTTAGTAACATACTAAATAAACCTTCCTTCTCTCTTTTAAATTCAAGATTTATAATGCTAGGGAAATGTTTGTAAAATGGGCATTTACATACTCGTCACCCAATTCATATATGTTTTACATATCTAACACCTATAGTTTAATTTTTTACATTAGTGCCACCTAAATCTTTGATATCACATCAAAAATATTATTATTTTAACTTTTAAAAAGAGAAGTACACCTTTTCATGCCTAGGTAAGGCGGCAAGTATGTAGAAATTGAAATTTTGGTGTTAGATATGTAATTACATAGAAATAGAGTGGTTTGTCTGTAAAACTAATTAAATTTCTCTTGATCATTTACACTTTTCTTCGAAGAGCATCAGTAATATTTATGTACATGTAAACGGTGATTATTTCAACATAATGAGACTTTAAAATGCTCTACAATAATATGTTTGGACAATTTTTATGCAAAATCATGAGGTTTGCTTAGGAATGAATTTTTGTTGCCTGCATACAAACATAATATATTCATGAAAGGACCTACATAGAGACGCTACAATTTATTAATCATTTCATATATTCTTCAGTAATTAAAAGAACATAATATTTTTTGTACTTGATCAATGTGCAGCAATAGTCACATTTGTTGACTTGTCTTTGTGATCTTCATGCACATGCTACTTGAATCTTTTTCTAAACTTAACAATGTCTCTTCCCATTTATTATAATAGAGACAGTTTATATCTATCAATTTTCATGAGATTTATTTTTACCATACTTGCCGAGGTTGATCTTCTCCCTCTAACAAACAATCTTTCAATGAGATTTTAATCTCCAATGCACTGATTTTGCGAATGAATAGTTAGAAAAAAGAAAGATGAAATCATACCATTGAAGTTGATCATATCTTCTCTATTGATGTCATAAAAATTCTTATTTGAGAAAGGTAATTTGCTGGTCACCATCAACCAATATATCAATGCTCATCAAAACCCTAATAACATAATTAATTTTATTTAGATGAGATTTAATGGATTTGCATCACTGCATGTGCATCCAACATAATTTTTTTACTTGTGATATTGATTTTTTTTAATGCTTTGATCATGTAAAAAAGTTGCTTTAGTTGCATCTCATTTGTGATTTTTTACTTGAAAGACATCAATCAAGATCACATTACCAATTATAATTAGAACATTTATTTAATTAAAATTTAATCTCTATCTTTTAAATTATACTCATAATTGTAGTTTATTCGAGTAGTAGGCTATAATATCACACTCTTATAGCTATCAAATTGTTAAATCTCATTCTTCATTGCTATCATACTCTATGGTAAACACTAATAATATTTATGAGGTAGAACACCTAGCTTTTATAAATGGTGCTTTCCAAGCAAATTTGGTGGGCATGCAAAACTATTGCAATGTGATTGATCATAACAAAAAGACATTAAGATATGATTAGTTTGGTTATAACAAGGCTTTTAATAAGAGGTGGTGATTTGGTCTACCCAAATTATTTTGTTTTCATCGTTTTAGTATGTACTTCCCAATTCTTATGTATTTAAATGTCTAACGCCTATATTTTGTTTTTTTACATTTATACCAGTCAAATCTTTCATATCAAATAAAAAATCACTATTTTAATATTTTAAAAGTGATATTCTCATGCATGGATAAGGTAGCATGTGCAAAATGTCAAAATGTAAATACATAAAGATTGAGAGGATGTATGTAGATCTTCAATTTTTCTTAGCAGTTTGGCATAAGATAAGTATTTTCTCCCATCTATATTCAGTTTCTGATCCGTCTCTTACTGTGCTAAAACGTAGTATTAAATTTGCCTATTAACTAAAATTGGTCTCAATTTTGTCTTAATTTAAGGGATAACAATCTTTTTAACTTTTGTTTAGAGCTGAGTTAATACCAATTAGATTCCAGGAAGTTTAAATCCATCTTTTTGTAACTAAGCGGCAAAGATTAATGATTGCCTTTATCTTTTTTTTTTTTTTTTTAAAAAAACTAGTTGGCATTATTATGATCATGGGCTAAGGTCGCATTTTATCTATTTTTCTTATTTGAGCATATATTTTTTTTCTTTTTTCACATACAAGTTCAAACCAAACCATAGAGGAGATTGAATATTTTTAAGGTGAAAAACTTAAAAAATGAAAAATTACTATTGTAATTCAATGTATTAGATTTGAGAGCGGCCTTCAAAATTTGAAAAGTGTTAAGCACAATGTATTAGATATGAACTATAGAAATCATCTCGTGGTGTTGGAATAATTATGTGCCAAGTAATTTTGAAGTCTGCTTTAGGCCTAAATGATTAACAAATATTAAATGTTGATTGTTATTAGGTGAATGGTTACAATAGATGGGAAATGTGAAAGTTTCGATGATGGTGATTTTCATGATAGAGGGGAAGGTGGACAGTCGAAAAGATGGTCGTCACATGTTGCTAGTTGATGAGTGTCATGCTTTACTTATTAGCATGCATTAAATGATAATTGACGAGAAATGTTAGAAGGCAGGAGATGATGAGTTGGCCAACTTAATCATTCTTCTAATTAAATTTGAGATCTAGTGATCAATAAGCGAGGATCAAACATCGATGATTGAAGAATGTATAATAGTGTGTGTTGGTAAGCATGGATGGCATTCAACAAATAACATCATAAGTCAAAGGATTGACTCAAATCATTTTTCTAATAGAATGGGAGCTCAAAGTATAAAAAGTAGGCATGAAACTTCTGTGGCTAGCGAATGTAAAAAATTATTTTTTGAATGATATTAGATGATCTATGAGAATATCGGAATGTTTATGTAATTTGTTGATTAGTGTAAAGTCACAAACATAAGGACTATCAAAATTTGAGTGATAATGAATGATGAACTTCATTGTTCTCTTATTATGATCAAATATTAGGTAGCTTGTCATATGAGTGTTAGATATCATTGACGGACATACTTCATATTTAGACTTCTAGCAAGCATCGAGGACAATAATATTTTCTACATTGATGGTCCTCAATAATTGAGGCATCTTTTTTATTTATTTAACATTCAAATCACATAGTTAAATGAAAGTCATCTCTCTAATAATCAAAGCGTAATCCTAATATGAACTCTTCCATTGCCAACATATCATTCTACTTGGAAAATGTGGTTGCCCTAGTTAGCACACACCTATATTTTTTTGTTAGGTTGACTTAATTGACAATATCATTGCCTAAAATTGATCCAATTTGTGACCCAATAAAGTTGGCTCAACTTGTAGCTATAAACCATAAATATTGTTGTGTTATAGGGTTTGGTGACTAGGCTATGCTAACTTTAAGCTGTATTTTTGTCTAGATCAAAATAATCATGAGCATTTTGGTGTGTTACATGTGCAATTAGTATTTATTTCCTTATCTAAATTGTTATGTAAGCCTCAATTTGTTTGCCTGTAAATAAAAAGTAAAATTTACCTACATACCACTCAAGTCTTATTTATTTATGTATCTAACACAAATTTCAATTTTTACCTAAATGCCATTTTAATTATGCATGAAAAGGTTTATTTCACATTTTAAAAACTAAATGATGCTAACCGAAGAGACACAATACAATTCAATCCAAAAAAAAAAACAAAATAAAAAAACAACAACACAAAAGAAGACAGGCAAAAAAAATCGCTACAATACAAGATGAAGCTCAGAATAATGCAGACATAAAATTTCTCTAAAATGAAAAATGTAGCAACACGAACACTTGGAAGAAGGAGAAGTAATCCACTTGAATCAGCACCAAACGGTCTCAAGAACTTAAGATCCAAAAATCCTTCAGAAAGAAAGAAAACTCTTAACATGTGGGAAAATGAGAAGAACCACCACCACCAGGATCAACAACAAGCAACGTCATTTGGAATTGCAATGAACAACATCTAACCATAACATCAGATACAGGATATATAAAAAAATAGAGAAACTATGGATTAGTAAATATATATTCCGTAAAGCTGAAGAATCAAAACAAATGTTCAATCAAATCCGAAACTTTCAGGGAGGCAAGGAATGGGTTAGTAAAAATATAGCTCAACCAAACCCAAACCATTATTAAGATACACCACCATCCAGAAATAATATCTCTATAATATAAGAAGTAATATAAGACTATCTAATTCAAGGCAACACCTCAAATATCATTTATAACTTTCATTAAATGGTTGAAACATAATTTCCATTCAAATTTAATCAAAAAGAGAAATGCAAATGAGAATATTAGGATAAAATCTCTAAAGAATGACAAATTCTCAAAGCAAGGAATTGGTACATCATAACTAAGGCTAAAAAATTATCAGAAAAGTTGTATATAAATTATCAGAACAGTATTCAATGAAGCATAAATTAGAAATAGAAAAAGGGAGATCACAGTGAACATAAAAGGAAAAATGTAAAAAGCAGTAACAACAACACCAAAAACTAAAAAACATCACAAGAAAAAGCTGCAAAAGAACTTCATAAAATAGTTGGAAAGAATTTCATCCTTTATTTAAAAGAGTAAGCAAAGTCAAGGATATAATTTTAAGGGAATGCAAAATTCACAAAATCAGAAAGAATACATCATAGCAAAACCAAAAAGTAGCCAACAAGCAAAGAATTTAGTATAAAAAAATCAGTAAAATTCCACTCATAGAAGAAAACATAGCAAAACCATGAATATATTGAGAATTGATAGAAAGTAAGAAAATCAAAAGTCCATTTAATCCAAATACGACCATGATCAGAAATATCAAAATCATGCACACTTTTCCTCATTATTAAAATTTTTATACTTATTAGCAGAGAAATTATCCTCAATAGAAGAAATAGAGAGCTT